ATAATAATAATAATAATAATATTGATGTTTTTTCTTAAGTTAAATCTTCTTAACTGGTGTAATAATAATAATAATAATAATAATACTTTCTAATAATAATAATAATAATAATAATATAAATCTGAATAATAATTGATTGATAATTTTGTTAAATGTTCTTAACTGGTGTAATAATAATAATAATAATAATAATAATAATAATGAATAATATTGATGAAATGTCTTTGTTTTCTTTTCTTAACTTTAATAATAATAATAATAATAATAATAATAATAATATTGATGAAGTGTCTTTGTTAAATCTTCGGCTTTAACTGGTGTAATAATAATAATAATAATAATAATAGTTAAATCTTCTAATTAATAATAATAATAATAATAATAATAATAATAATATTGATGAAGTGTCTTTTGTTAAATCTTTATTTAACTGGTGTAATAATAATAATAATAATAATAATAATAATATTGATGAAGTGTCTTAAGTTAAATCTTCTTAACTGGTGTAATAATAATAATAATAATAATAATAATAATAATAATAATAATAATAATATTGATGAAGTGTCTTTGTTAAATCTTTCTTAACTGGTAATAATAATAATAATAATAATAATAATAATAATAATAATAATAATAATAATAATATTGATGAAGTGTCTTTTGTTAAATCTTCTTAACTGGTTTAATAATATTAAGTTAAAATAATAATAATAATAATAATAATAATAATAATAATAATAATAATATTAATAATAATAATAATATTGATGGAAGTGTCTTTTGTTAAATCTTCTTGTAATAATAATAATAATAATAATAATAATAATAATAATAATAATAATAATAATATTGATGAAGTGTCTTTTGTTAAATTTTTCTTAACTGGTTTTAATAATAATAATAATAAAATAATAATAATAATAATAATAATATTGATGAAGTGTCTTTTGTTAAATCTGGTCTTAACTGGTGTAATAATAATAATAATAATAATAATAATAATAATAATAATAATAATAATAATATTGATAATGTCTTTTGATGAAGTCTTAACTTTTGTTAAATCTTCTCTTAATAATGGGTCTTCTTAAATGTTTCTCTTAATAATAATAATAATAAATAATAATAATAATAATAATAATTGATGAAGTGTCTTTTGTTAAATCTTCTCTTAACTGTTTAATAATAATAATAATAATAATAAATAATAATAATAATAATAATAATAATATTGATGAAGTGTCTTTTTTTAAATCTTCTCTTGAAACTGGGTAATAATAATAATAATAATAATAATAATAATAATAATAATAATAATAATAATAATATTGATGAAGTGTCTTTTTGTTAAATCTTCTCTTAACTGGTGTAATAATAATAATAATAATAATAATAATAATAATAATAATAATAATAATGGAGTGTCTTCAAATCTTAATTCTTTGGTGTAATAATAATAATAATAATAATAATAATAATAATAATAATAATAATATTGATGAAGTGTCTTTTGTTAAATCTTTTCTTAACTGGTGTAATAATAATAATAATAATAATAATAATAATAATAATATCTGATAATGTCTTTTGATGAAGTCTTCTTTTGTTAAATCTTAATAATAATAATAATAATAATAATAATAATAAATTGATGATAATAATAATAATAATAATAATAATAATAATAATAATAATATTGATGAAGTGTCTTAAGTTAAATCTTCTCTTAACTGGTAATAATAATAATAATAATAATAATAATAATAATAATAATAATAATAATAATAATGATGAAGTGTCTTTTGTTAAATCTTCTTAACTGGTGTAATAATAATAATAATAATAATAATAATAATAATAATAATATTGATGAAGTGTCTTAAGTTAAATCTCTCTTAACTGGTAATAATAATAATAATAATAATAATAATAATATTAATAATATTGATGAAAGTCTTTTGTTAAATAATAATAATAATAATAATAATAATAATAATAATAATAATAATAATAATATTGATGAAGTGTCTTTTGTTAAATCTTAACTGGTGTAATAATAATAATAATAATAATAATAATATTGATTAAATTAAAATCTTGTTGTTCTTTAATAATAATAATAATAATAATAATAATAATAATAATAATAATAATAATAATATTGATGAAGTGTCTTTTTTTGTTAAATCTTTCTTAACTGGTGTAATAATAATAATAATAATAATAATAATATTGATGAAGTGTCTTAAGTTAAATCTTCTCTTAACTGGTAATAATAATAATAATAATAATAATAATAATAATAATAATAATAATAATAATATTGATGAAGTGTCTTTTGTTAAATGTTTCTTAACTGGTGTAATAATAATAATAATAATAATAATAATAATAATAATAATAATAATAATATTGATGAAGTGTCTTTTGTTAAATCTTTCTTAACTGTGTAATAATAATAATAATAATAATAATAATAATATTGATGAAGTCTTGTTAAATTTTCTTAACTGGTGTAATAATAATAATAATTAATAACTGGTAATAAATAATGAATAATTGTTAAATAACTAATAATAATAATAATAATAATAATAATAATAATAATAATAATAATATTGATGAAGTGTCTTTTGTTAAATCTTCTTAACTGGTGTAATAATAATAATAATAATAATAATAATAATAATAATAATATTGATGAAGTGTCTTTTTGTTAAATCTTCTTAACTGGTGTAATAATAATAATAATAATAATAATAATAATAATAATAATAATAATAATAATAATATTGATGAAGTGTCTTTTGTTAAATCTTCTCTTAACTGGTGTAATAATAATAATAATAATAATAATAATAATAATAATAATGGAGTGTCTTCTTAAATCTTTCTTAACTGGTGTAATAATAATAATAATAATAATAATAATAATAATAATAATAATTGATGAAGGTCTTAAGTTAAATCTTCTTAACTGGTGTAATAATAATAATAATAATAATAATAATAATAATAATAATAATAATATTGATGAAGTGTCTTTTGTTAAATCTTCTCTTAACTGGTGTAATAATAATAATAATAATAATAATAATAATAATAATAATATTGATGAAGTGTCTTTTGTTAAATCTTCTTAACTGGTGTAATAATAATAATAATAATAATAATAATAATAATAATAATAATAATAATAATATTGATGAAGGTCTTTTGTTAAATCTTTCTTAACTGGTGTAATAATAATAATAATAATAATAATAATAATAATAATAATAATAATAATAATATTGATGAAGTGTCTTTTGTTAAATCTTCTCTTAACTGGTAATAATAATAATAATAATAATAATAATAATAATAATAATAATAATAATATTGATGAAGTGTCTTTTGTTAAATCTCTCTTAACTGGTGTAATAATAATAATAATAATAATAATAATAATAATAATAATAATAATATTTATGAAGTGTCTTTTGTTAAATCTTCTCTTAACTGGTAATAATAATAATAATAATAATACTCATCAAGAATGTAGAGATTGCTCCGTTGCAATTGTGTCTTTTGCAATTTCTCGATGGTAATGATTTGTAACGGACTTTATTGAAGGTTTCTCATTAAAAAGAGTTTCTAAACCAATAAACCTTTGCTTCCCAGATACTCCGTTCAATTTCCGACGTAATTACGGGCTTTCCAAGCAGCGTCTCTTAAAGAAAGCAATGTTCGATAAAGCATTTCCACTCTGGATGCGGCTCCCGCCTAAAAGGCTGCATCGGAACCTATTTGATGTTAACTGGGTAAATTGTACTTAATTAATGCTTTTATTTCTCCTGTCCTGCGACTGCGGCACGGCGCCAAGCTTTCAAAATCCGCCGGGATTGTGCGTAAAATCGACAATTGTGAATGAAGCAGGGTCGATAAGCACAGTATGGCGGAGGTAGATAAAATGGAAACGATAGGGTAATCTTGGTAGCTTTGGCGTTAGCAAACTTGTTTCAAATACTTTTTCATAGCGTTAACCTCTCTCAATCGTCTACAACTGTGACTTTGCGTTGCATAAAGCCATCCTTAGTGAATAGATTCCTCGTTTTGAGTTAGTGGTTAGAAATGATAGGCTTGTTGAGAATAATTAATGAATAGGTTACTGTTGTGGATTCCGAGATGAAATTCGGTCTCCAATGAATGACAAACGCAAGAATTAAATATAAGAAATAAAATGTATTTACACAAGAATACAAAGGGTAATACTGTTAGTAAATCCAGGAACGCGGTTAGTAGTAATAACATATAGATATATACAGTCTCGAAGTAGGACTTCCTTAAAGTCTACGTGCTTGTAACTGACTTCTACAAGAGGTTACCTCACACTATTACTCTACCTCCAACTCAATCACAATCTCCGTCTTACTATCCGTACTCACTCTCTGAGTGACTGTCTAATTCTGGGTATTTAACGGCAGCAGTCCAAGTGACACTTTGGTTGAGTCCACTTATATGAAAAAGGGGAGGACCCCATAACAGTTACTAGTTTTCCCGTAGAGGATAATTTCTCCATCTCAGAATATACTGACTGCATCACACTTTTTTATCCAGTGACCCGTTCTTCTTTAAGGCAGCCATAACACTTCTTGCTGTAACTCTCACGTTTGTATATATTTGTATTACGATATTGAGTCACCCCCCCCCACGAGGGTGTCATGTGGCACAAGGCCTTTTTGACGTGGGCTCGGCCAAAAATATGCCCATTGAACCCGTATAAACAGGTTCAGGGCCGGTTTACCTCCCCGAAGGAGACTCCGCCCTTCGGCGTAGCCTCCTTCGGGTTCCTCCCGTCCGTAGGAAGAGAGTTCAACCGAACAGTCGGTTCAGAAGTGAACGACTGACTCACTCATATATTTGTATTACTGTTTCTGTTAATATATTTGTTTAACTCAATTCCTCTCTTGTGCCTTTAATTCTGGCCCTAACAAAACCACAACACGATCTATGTCATGTCTATTTATCGTTCGGTTACTATCTATCTATCTATCTATTATGGTAATTTACCCACGCATGCATGGACTCTCCCAGCTATAAATAGGAGCAGGTACTGCCTTTTGGGGGTGGGGAGTTTCCAGCAGTCAACTCTGACAGTCGGACCGAACATTCTTGCTGTAACACTCTTGTTTGTATTACTGTTTCTGTTAATATATTTACTTAACTCAATTCCTCTTTTGTGTCTTTATTTCTGGCCCTAACAAGGCCACAACAGTTATAGAAAACAGTCTGTGTGGAGAGGAAAAGAGGACATAACTTTTCCATGGGCATTAGGACGTAAGTGAATATAATGAAATTAGAACTCAGCTCTCCGATTTCTCAATCCGAGCCGCTATCCAGTACACCACACTGCGCCTCAGGTACACCCCCCCGCAAATGGGTAAAACTAGACAATGAAGGGCAAACTTCTTAGCAGATAACTAATCGTACCTAACTTATACTCTCTACTGTAGGGTGGCCACTGAAAGTCTGAATGGTGTAAAACAATAATAGCTTTTCTTTATTATTTTATTTGGATGGAAACTTTTTAAAATCCCGTTTTAGAATCTTCTGAAGCGATGTTCTGGCGATGTCTAGTGGACGTTTAGTATCCTCAAAGACCCTGTATCGTACCTTTTCCACCGCTGTGTCAATGTGAACGCACAGCGCGCTTAGGACCTCTTCCCGGAAGATCGACAACTGATCCACTTTTTTTTTTCAAAACGGCGGTTCCGAATCGTGTTATCGCTAGGAGATAATCTGACATGAAAATATTGCCGAGATTTTCTTCGAGTATCAATAACTGACCTTTGATTGGAATAGAAAAACTCAATGAGTTTTATTCGTTGCCGGACATCATACGTAGCCATTTTAATCTCCAAGGGATGCTCTATAACCTGCATCATACGTAGCCATTTTAATCTCCAATGGATGCTCTATAAGCTGCATCATACGTAGCCATTTTAATCTCCAAGGGATGCTCTATAATCTGCATCATACGTAGCCATTTTAATCTCCAAAGGATGCTCTATAAACTGCATCATACGTAGCCATTTTAATCTCCAAGGGATGCTCTATAAACTGCATCATACGTAGCCATTTTAATCTCCAATGGATGCTCTATAAGCTGCATCATACGTAGCCATTTTAATCTCCAAGGGATGCTCTATAACCTGCATCATACGTAGCCATTTTAATCTCCAAAGGATGCTCTATAAACTGCATCATACGTAGCCATTTTAATCTCCAATGGATGCTCTATAAGTTGCATCATACGCAGCCATTTTAATCTCAAAAAGATGCTCTATAAACTGCATCATACGTAGCCATTTAATCTCCAAGGGAGGTTCTATAAACTGCATCATACGTAGCCATTTTAATCCCCAAGAGATACTCTATAAACTATCATACGTAGCCATTTTAATCTCCAAGGGAGGCTCTATAAACTGCATCATACGTGGCCATTTTAATCTCCAAGAGATACTCTATAAACTGCATCATACGTAGCCATTTTAATCTCCAAGGAATGCTCTATAGCCTGCAAACAAAATAAAATAAAATAATAAGATTGAAAACCAATGAGTTATGAGATTTTCAAATCTTTATTTTTTCCAGTGACCACTCTGTATAAAACTGATCAACGTTTCCCATGTTGGGCCTGAAGGGACTTCCGCAGGCACAGGATGGAATGTTAGGAAGCCCCCGTGGGTGGAGAGCTCCGGCTTTTCTTCAGGCTCGCTTCGTCTCTTCTATATGTTTTCTATTTGTTTTCGCGGAATATATTTCCTAATATTGGTTACTTCTAGTTGCTCAAAGTGTTTTACCACTTTGCATACCCATCTTTCTCTTGTTCTGCTATACCTTCACTCACACTCTTTAAGAAGGTTAAACGATTTTACATCCTGCTTTTGATCTCAGTATATCCTCTTATGTGTTTATTTCACTAAGCCTTCTTTCCTCTTTATGTATCCACACAATTTCAACCGTCTGTGTCTATATATTCGTATCATTGAATTTACTTTTACCTGAACATAGAAGAACGAACAGAACAGCGAAATATTCTTTGTCGATGTCTACGAGTATCTTGTAATCTCATGTAATCTGGTAGAGTAAAGGTTAGCGGCTCGGATTGAGGAATCGGAGAGCAGAGTTCGAATTCCAGTCGAATCCGTTACATACTTACGTGCTAATACCCTTGGGAAAGGCAAGTATCCTTTTCTCCAGTTATGGCTAAATAGCAGGACAGACTGGGTTCTATAGCTCTGGATGGCAACTAGGAGGAAGACAACATTAAGGGTCGTTTGGGGACTTTTGTAGCACACGTTGCACCTGGTCTCTCTATTCAGCTCTTCAAAAATGGTGGTTGGTTCGGCACAAAACCTTCACCACTATAATCAAATCATATGGGCAGGTTGTCTGGGTGTGGCCTGCCCTTCATATGTCGCAGGCGGATGTTTCGCAGCGAAAAAAAAAATAGCGATCGCTTTCTTTTGCCGCCTAGCCGTCATTTTGGGTCCCCGGTAGGGGTGGCTCATCAGCACGCGTCTATCTAGATTCGAGATTATAGGAAATGGAATCTCCCGTCGAAGTTGAATCCATTACATACAATTACGTTCTTGGGAAAGGTATGAAACTTCTTCTTCTACCTCCCACCCCAGATATGGGTAAACATCAGAAACGACAACTCTGAATTCAAAAAAATTCAAACACCTTGCAAACTCAAACTCATATCCATACCACTGAATATACATATATATATATATATATATATATATATATATATATATATATATATATATATATATATATATATATATATAATGACCAGGTGATCATTAGATCACATTTACTACGGATAATTATTTTCAAATCATACTGCACAGGTACTAATCCGTTGGTATAATCCAGGCAAGTCCTGTTAACACAACATAGAATTTAAAATATTTAAAAAACAAAGGTACGCTCAATGATTATTTTCATTAAACAGAGCAAATTTTCTTTACTTATGGAATTAAGATACATTAGTGAATGACCATTTTCACCTGAGAATTTTAATTTTAAAATCCGCAGGATTTTTAAAATTCGTTTTCACCTGCGAATTTTAAAATAAAAATTTGTAGGTGAAAATGCATATGGAAAATCCTGCGATTTATAAAATTAAAATTCGTAGGTGAAAATGCTCATTTACTAAATGACTTTCAATTCCAAAATTTATTTTAATATAATATATATATATATATATATATATATATATATATATATATATATCGATAATATTAGTGGAAAATATACATACATATGCAAAGATATATAAATATCCATACATGCATTTTTTTTAAAAAATAGAATGATGAATTGGATTGTATTTACGATTCCAATGGAGTAAATTATGACCATGGAATATTAGTGTTTAAGCCTTTATATATATATATATATATATATATATATATATATATATATATGCAAAATATATATATAAAAATACAAATTCATGTATATTTTCAGAAAAGGTGATTATTTTCAAATATAAATATTTTTGTGCATTATACTGAGGCTTTTTTTTATATATATATATATATATATATATATATATATATATATATATATATATATATATATATTTATATTTGAAAATAATCTTTCATTACCCATGTGCCGGATGAATATGCATTATACATTGAATATATCAGATCCAAATGCAGCTGTTCACTATATATCAGATTTATTTATTGACGTGCCTTCGTTTTTCGGCAGCTGAATGAAATTGGTTTTATGAGCCTTAGAAAGTACACACACACACACACACACACACACACACATTGTTATGGGTTAACACACACACATATTGTATATATATATATATATATATATATATATATATATATATATGTGTGTGTATAGGGTTGATAAGCCACACACACACACAATATATATATATATATATATATATATATATATATATGTGTGTGTGTGTGAATATATATATATTATAAATGGCAGTGGCATTCCTTCTCGCCATCTTAGATTATTACGCAAACAAAAGAATTGGCAGTTGGCCTTTTGAAAGTGTAGCTTGATATTTACAGATGACTAGCGTCCACTTGAACAGGTGCGCTGTATATTGCTCAATGACGAATGCATAAAAAAACTGGATTGACCTTTAAGATAGGGATGCATCGAGTGGAACCTATTCAGTATTAGCGCCATTGCAGAGGGGGCGGATATATGATGAACAGCCGTCAGTTATTTGCAAATCTATGAATCACACCTATACACACAGACACACACACACACACATATATATAAACACACACACATATATGCGCGTGTGTGTGTGTGTGTGTAAATTAATTTCGCATAGACTAAAGGAAAAAAATGACAAAAGCTAATAATAGTTTTTTCTCGTATCTTTTTATCCATATATCTTCTGAAAAATTTATTTCGGTAGAGCTCTCTGGGGGAGGAAGTGTGGATTTGTGACTATTACGGCTAATAATGCAAGACTCTTCGCAAAATCAAATCGAGTTTTCTCAGTCACTGTGTGTTTATCAAAAAAATAAATACGCTTAAATTCACCTTCACCCCTACCATGCGCCAACGGCTTAGTGGTAGAATCCCGAGAGACGGGTAGTCTCTCACACATCACAGGCGAGAATGGCCCATTTATAAAAAATAAGTTTAAAATTTTGCTTCTTCGCTTCGTTTAAATTGAATTTAGTACTCTCGGTGGCGACCTTCTGTCCAACGCTTTTTCTCAAACGTGCAGTTATCAGGCGCAACTAGACCCACAGGGGTTCAACTCTCACAGTCACTGATGACTGGGTGGATCGTGGATATCCAACAGCGGTTGGGAAGTCATGTGAGGTTAAATCTGCGCCTATATCCCTATTGATAGTCTGGTGTAAAATTGAGTGCAATATAAGTATTTATATATTCATTCCGTATATCTGATCAATGATCTAAGTTTTTCTATTTGATGTAAGATTTATTAGATTAGGTTAGAGGATTTTAATTTAGACATTTCAGTCATGATGTACTTTTGTAGGTAACGTAGGAGGAATTTGTTTTCGTATTTTCATTTGGAAATGATCCAATATTTTGTTTAGGAATTTATCTACTTTTGTAAATGTGATTTTCCCTATTTGCACCTCTAGACTATTTTGTTTTAAGGTATGGTTGTAATCCTGTGGCGTTTTTTTTCCATGTCATAAAGAAAAATGCCCCTCAAAAGCACAAACGCGCAAATATTATCAACCTAATACTTGACAAGACAGATACACTTGATGTCTACTGAACCAATAAAAACCAAATACCACAGAAATAAAAAATATCCTAATTTTCTTTTCTTCGCCATATTTTATTTTCTGATGAACCTTAAATAAAATCGAAACGTGTTAAATTTAGGCACGTTTTCTATTTGTTCGTCATCCTATCATTCTGTCAGATCTTAATTCATATTTGATCCCAATTCTTGTATATATATATATATATATATATATATATATATATATATATATATATAATTATTTATTTAAAATATGATTCCAACGCTACATATTTATATTTATGCTCTACTTTTGTATCGAGCACTATTTTTTAAAATAATAAAAAAAAAAATACTAAAGAACTTTGGATTATTTACCTAACGAGTTCTTTTTCCTATTTTCTATATATTTTTTACACACACACATATATATATATATATATATATATATATATGGTGAGATGGATAAATTGTCGTTTAAATTACGCGAAACTGAAATTAATTCTAGCATATCATTTTAATAGATACATTGACCAATATGCCAAAAAATATGTTGAAATACTAGAGTAAATTTATTTAAAAAAATCACCATTGCTTTCAGTCACGGCCTCCAGACACGACTTCGGAATCTCCTGCAACTCTTTTGGACGGTCTGCTTGTTTAATTAGGTGGATTTTGCCATAATCTTTGCCTTCAGGTCATCATTGATTTTATAAGTTGTTTTGTTGGTTTCTCGCTTAACTGTGGCCCACAAATAATAATCAAGGAGGTTACAGCTTGGGGCGTTTAGTGGCCGGATGTAAGGGGCGATGTGGGTGCAGAATTGTCTAAAAGCCATGTCTGGTTTCTCCTGCTTGTGTGGCATAGTGCAGAGTATTGTTGCTAGACATAGGGGCTTCCAGCAAGCCACCCTCATGACCCAGGGCAGCACTGGCTCCTCAAGGCACTAGATGTAGGCCTCGCTGTTCAGTCTGAGGCCCTCACCAAGAAATTCTTATCAGAACGATCAGAGTGAGTTTTTCGAGCTGCAGCACCTTCGTAATCACAATTAGACTCATCGAACTCTTTCGAAACTCTCTGAACTGTCCACAGATTGACACCAGAACACTGGAATGTTCGTAGTGCAGCTTCCGGTACGAATGCCAGTTATTGCAGCATGTCATTTCCAAATTTTTTTAGCGGAGTAAATTGCGTCATGGTGGCCTTTTTCTCACAAAACTAACTCTACTATACTGTGCAGTCGACAAAATAAAAGACAATCAACGCGCATGCGCAGAATTAAAAATATAAATTGGTGACAATTTAGCATCGCATCGGACAAATCTCGTATATGTTTTTATGCGAGCAACTTAAAAAATTCTCTAAATAATAAATTTTAATGCATCTTCCTGAGTTCGCAGAATAGAAATATTCTTTCTCCTTATTCCGAAATCATTAACAGCGTTAGGATTTCGTCCCGGATACACTAGCAAATCTCGCTTCGTTAGAATAAAAAGAAACTCTTACGGAAATCCAACGAATATCTATAAACAGAATTTCGCATCGGTTCAAAGAAAATAATCCGTCGATCGAATTTCAGCCCCACAAAACACAACGCCTGCCATACGCCCTTCTTCGATTTGGTACATACTGTAGCTCCATTAACTGCAATCATTCCATTTGGCTCTTTAATGGACAAAGTATCGATCCAAATCGTTAGCACTGGCTTTGAACATATAGAACTCACGGTATTGGCTTACTAGTGTTAAGTAGGGGCTCGTGTATAGGCACTGCCGAACTGCACCCACTATTTTTACTCGATATTATTGGTAATAATCAATATATTTTTCCAGTAATGTGGTGTTTAGCTGTTGTACGCATGCGCCCGTGTCCGAAGAAAGCAGTTGAAGGCTGGTTAGAGAGAGTACGGTAGCTCAGCCAGTGCCGACCAGGTTGTCCGAGTGTAAGGTAATGTTTCTTTTTGCCTCAGAATGTGTTAAGTTTAAAAACGTGAGCCATATTCTTGAATGTGATAAAATATAGATTACTATCACGCTTCCGAATATTCTATTTAATTAACTTTTCGGTCGGTTTATTGTATAAAATATTTTAATAATTTATCCATGACCTCCTTGAATCCCAAGAAATAAGTTCTGTGACAGTAAGTGAACTGCAACAGCTTAAGTTTTCACAGTTGTCTCTTCATGAGAAATTTACAGAAAAGAGGTTGTTCAACAGCTGATAGTCAAATATCCCAGCCAAGAATATGCAACAACAAACAGATATTTGTAGTTTGGTTTGGTTTGTTTTACATCATATCAACCTCAATGAGTTATTTAATGCCGACAAGATTTTTATTGCTATTAATATTTTTGTTTCAAAATATATTGCTGGTAATATTTTTCCAAATCTGTATTGCTGGTAATATTTTTCAAAAAATGTATTGCTGGTAATATTTTTCCAAATATGTATTGCTGGTAATATTTTTTTCAAAAGATGTATTGCTGGTAATAATGCAGTGCTGATAACAATTTTTTATTCAGAAGTTCATTGCTGTTAATAAAGCCTATTTTTTATAAGCTTTGACCCCAATTTTGGGGTTAAGTATTTGCCCATATCTAGGACCCTAACAGGTGCTACCACCCTGGGTCAGGGTGAACATGCGGACATCATCAATTAAGATGCGGTTCCATCATCCTCAAAACTTCCTGATCAGAAGCCTTGCTGTTGGACGTAGTTTATCGTCTTACCCGGAACGCGGATGTTGTTTATCGTCTTACCCAAGACGCGGATGTAGTTTATCGTCTTACACGGGACGCAGGTAATAAATTCATTAAGTTTGGTCTGAGTGGTGGTGATGATAGATGTGTTGATAAGAGACTTATCCTTGAGACTGTCAAATGTATCTCAATTCTTGTGTATCGTGTGTGCGAGCGTGTCCCTGTTAGCTTGCATATGAATCCCCATACATACACACACACACACACACACACACATATATATATATATATGCATATATATCGTCATCCACAGACAGACTGTTTCGCTGTATCACAGATCATCAGTGTGGCGGCTAGACATCCGATCGGTTCGGGACAGAAACCTGACCGATTTGGTATCAGTCGGAAATTCTAAACCCTCGGCCATCGACGCCCAGCAGAGAGAAAGGCGACGTTTTTCCTATTTATTTTTACATAAACACATCAATCACTTAGAGAACTTAATCGCTAGGTGAGTCTTGCATTATCAGCAGTAATAGTGACTGTTTAAAAATTCGTTACTCCCCACAGTGCTCGACCGATTAAATTGTTTTATCGAGAGCTAATATCATCATCCACAGACACATACACATATGCCCACACGTATAAATACACAAACACATACGCATTCTTCCTGTGTTGCGTAGCGCTCATGTATGTGCCCGTGACTAGTCTCTCTTTTGTTGTCAGTGTATGTATATACATTTTTGTTCTACATGGATACCTGTTTGCGCGTGCGTACGTGAATATATGTGTGCAGTCCGACCAGTGTATCTGGGCATCATGTGTCCATGTTGTGTGTTTATATGTTTTGCGTTATGATCTGTTCAGTGCTGGTTTAAATTTGTCTATAAAGTTTTTTTCTTGAATTTGTAAAAAAGAGTAGTAGGATGTTTGGTATATTGGCACAATTTTAAATTTGCCTTGATTGCATTCGTAGATGTGTTACGATACAAAAAGTTTTCTGTTGTCCGATAATTTGAGGTTGCTTTTGTGAAGGGCAACTCTGTTGTTAAGTGTTTGGCTGATGCGATAGGAAAAAAATCTCTCATCAGTATATCGAATTACGACTCAGACCAAACCTAATGATTTTATTACCACTTAGGCAGAAATTCACTTTTGCCAACAGTCCAGAAATGAGATCAAGGCTCACTACAAATACAGAAAAAGAACAATGAGACATTAAAAGAACATAAGGAAAATTTATTCCTTTAAAAATTGATTCTTTTTATTTTTCATGAAGAAGGTGACGGAGACGGGAAACTTGTGTAGCAAAAATATGAAGAATAAAATATAATATAGAGACTAAAACAAATTCACATTATAACCAAAAACGTTTTCGGTTTCTCTCTTTTTTAATATATATATATATTAAGAAATGGATAAAGTCTGACAATTTAGTTATTAAAGACATTTTTAGGTTTAACGTTCTTTTTATAGATACAAGTATTTAAGTAAATGCTCTGTTTATAGTAAACAGTATTAAATAACATTTACCGGCCTGAATGTCCGAGAAATTTTCATAGAAAATATTCGTCCTTTGACAGGATTCGAACCTTCATCCTATACGGAACCGTCATTTACGCTGACGTGCCTTGACCGCTCGGCCACAAAGGATCGTCCGGTTGGCAAGGCTGAATTTACTGCTTATATAAATTTTCTATGAAAATTTCTCAGACATTCAGGCCGGTAAATGTTATTTAATATTTAACATTTACTTAAATACTTGTATCTATAAAAAAAAACGTTAAACATAAAAATGTCTTTAATAAATAAATTGTCGGACTTTGTCCATTTCTTAATATATGACGTCATTTGTTTACATTTGATACGCCAGAGCAGTTATGAATGTACGAGATTCATGGAAGGTTGAAGTTTATAAGCAGTAAATTCAACCCTACCTACCGAACGATCATTTGTGGCCGAGTCGGTTAAGGCACGTCAGCGTAAATGATAGGATACAGGTTCGAATCCTGTCAAAGGACGAATATTTTCTATGAAAATTTTCGGACATTCAGGCCGGTAAATGTTATTTAATACTGTTTATTATAAACAGAGCATTTACTTAAATACTTGTATCTATAAAAAGAACGTTAAACAAAAAAATGTTTTATATATAAAATCATCTCATATGGGGAATAAGCTTATTTCAACCGAAGAAAAAATAAAATTCGTCCGTTTTATTCAACCCCAGTATAGACTGAGTTTCGGGACACGAAGTCAGTCTATACGAGGTTTGAAGAAAAGTGACAAATTTTATTTTTTCGTCGGCCGAAATAAGTTTATTTCTTCATATGAGATGATTTGGATTATTTTAATTTTTTTTCTGTAATAATAAATGCATCGAGATTCTTTTTTATTGTGGATCAGTTTAATATTTTATATTACTAGGATCCACTGGAATTATATAGCAACGGATTTATTATTGCTTACCATATATATATATATATATATATATATATATATATATATATATATATATATATATGTATATATATATATGAATGACATAACGATAACACACACATACATATATCGTTATTTCCTATATATATAAACACACACACGCACATATATATATATATATATATATATATATATATCGTTATATATATGCAAACATATATATCGTCATCTCATATACATATATCATTATCTCATATATATATTTTTTATCTCATAAATATATATATATATATATATATATATATATCATTCTCTTAGGTATATATGTATATAGTTATTTCTCTCTCTCTCTCTCTCTCTTTATATATATATATATATATATATATATATATATATATATATATATATATATATATATATATACATATTATAAAAAAAGAAAGAACAGTAAGTTATATAATCCGGTGTTTCTATTGATATTTTTATTTTTACAAAACAGTGCTCAGTGTAAATTTGAAGAGCATAAATATTATAAATTAACTGATTTAAAATGTAGTTAAAAACCATATTTTAAATCAGTTAATATATATATGTGTGTCTGTCTGTGTGTATGTGTGTGTATGCGTGTGTGTGTGTGTGTGCTTGTTTTATTTTGTGATCATTAAAAATGTTGAGAGGTACATTTTTATTTAAATTTAAAATAAAGTTTCTTTTGAATTTGTTTTTTTATTGTTGAGATCACATTGATTTATCTTAGTCTGTGGTTCCCCCCCACCCCACCCCGGGTACATACCCTTGACCACCTCTAGGAAGGAAGAAAGAAAAGGTAGGTCATGCAAACTGTTAGCTAAGTAGAAAGCACTTTAAGAATCTCGAATATTCCGTCGAGTATTTAAAAAGCCTTAATGGAATCAACGTCCTTCGTTATTGCTTATGACTGCTCATGTGTGGTCTGTTTATCTCGTCTCTTGAGAGCTTGATGTTATTAAAACGTTTTCTAAAGCCGTAATGATGGCTTTCTGTAATGCACCATCCGTGGGACCATGGACGAAAGAGGACCAACGTTAAAAGTTCGCCTCGTATGCAAAAGAATCGTCAGTAAAAAGAAATTGGGAATAAATAAATACATGCACGATTTTTATGCTGCATTTTTTTTTTCATTCTAATTGATTTATTTCTTCTCAAGTTCATTTTCATGAAAAGATTGAATGGAGGATTCTGCCATTTTGAATGGCTTTTCTTTTTTGATGGCGTCAATGACATTGGAAATAGCAAAGGTAGCATGGTGTCAAGCTCGTGATCTAATGGTTTGTCTACAGCTTTCTTTCCTTCTCTTTCCTTTTTTTCTTTCTTTCTTTCTTTTACCTTTCTTTCATTTTTCTCTCTTGCTCATTTCTTTTTTTTTTCACTTTTCTTTCTTTCTCTTTTCTTCCAATTTCTTTATTTCTTTCTTTCTCCAATTGCTCTTTCTTTTTCTTTTCTTTCCTTTTTTCATCTTCTTTCTTTCCATTACTTTCCTTATTTCTTTATTTCCTTTTCTTTCTCTTTTCTTTCTTTCTTTTGCTCTTTCCTTTCTTTCACTTTTTCGTTCTTTCTTTTTGTCCTTTACTTTTTTCTTCTTTCCTTTCTTTCTTTCTTTCTTTCTTTCTTTCTTTCTTTCTTTCTTTGTTCTTTCTTTCTTTTACTTTCTTTCTTTTTCTTTTTTCTTTCTTTCTTTCTCCAATTACCCTTTCTTTCTTTCTTTCTGTTGTGTCGTGGCACAATAGTAAAAATAAGAAAATCAATTCGAAGTTGGTTTAAGGAACAAGTGTATTTAACATCACAGATACAAAGGTAGGAAACGGGTACTACTCAGCTAGGCAGTTGTAGTACTGTCGCTGCTTACACCGGGTAGGTATTACTGGCACTATATATAGTGAGAACCGGTGTAATTCCCTTGTGTTAGAGGCCGGTGCAGCACTTTCTTTCTTTCTTTCTCCAATTACCCTATTTTTCTTTCTTTCTTTCTTTCTTTCTTTCTTTCTTTCTTTCTTTCTTTCTTTCTTTCTTCTGTTTTCCAGTTACTCTCTCTTTCTCTAAATAACACATGGGATCAAGTGGGATAATTTTAATCTTAGAAGCTAAAAAACGAATCGCTCTTTTACTTTCTTTCTTTTTCTTTCTTTCTTTCTTTCAGCAATTGCTCTCTCTTTCTTTTTCTCTAAATAACATATGGGATCAAGTGGGATAATTTTAATCTTAGAAGCTAAAAAAAAAAAAAACGGATTAACTGAATTAATTATCCATTTTATCGAACTTCGCCCAGTTCTTGTGTTCTTGCAGTTACTCTTTCTATCGAAACACAAACAAAACAAAAACAACTCATTTCTTCATCCGCCAACAGAATTCGCGATTCTACTAATTTTACAATGAGTTATTTTCTAGATTTACCTTTGATTAAAAGAGGATGACACATAAGCTAATTCTCTATATAACAGCTAATATCAATACAAGAGCATATAATATGGCAGCATAAGTTTAGTTTTCACCCGATTAGTGAGCCCCAGTTTCGAATCCCGCCAAGATCGATTTGTCAAAGAGGTCGCCTGGGAAATCTCAGCGTGGCACACCGTTTAGAAATGAGTAAAAATAATAGAGTGATCCATGCCTGTTTTGTGAGTCTGGGGAGACGAAAGATTTGGAAAGTTATTTGATGATTATGCATTTAAGCAAATAGTTTGAGTACACTGGCATTGTTTAACTATTTACTGGTTTTGTTTAACTACTATTCACTCCAGAGTATGTGCTGTCTTCCAGAAACTAATTACAGCTGCAATCTAAATCCCAGGTTGGTTTGTAGGAATCGAAGGAACAAAAATGTGCTTGAGCAGTGTCTGTAACGGGAATGATTTAGTCAAACTAGCAGATAGGTATAGTAGAAAACGAGCTTTTATTGTTAAGATAGTTCCATCGTGTAGAATATAATGCATCAGGTAAACAAATATATATATATATATATATATATATATATATATATATAAATATATAAGAATGTGTTTTTAGTTAAAAAATATCAAAAAAAAAAAAAACGTCATTATTTTCCATTATTTTTCAAATATATCTATATATATATATATATATATATATATATATATATTATGTTATATATATATATATATATATATATATATATATATATATATATAGATAGATAGAGAGAGAGAGTTAGTTAAACCTACCAAAGTTTGTTAGTTTGGATCGTCAGGGAAGGCCGGCTAAAAAAAGGTAATAAATTTATATACAGACTATAAATATTTCGTTCTTTTATTACCATTTTAGCTAGCCTTCCTTGCTTGATAATAATGTTGAAACAAATGGCTATTTGTGGTGATTTTAAACATATTTAAGTTATAATTTTCGAATACATAATTATATTTGCATTACTCTGTATTGATCACTCTTTTAAGAATAGTATTTGTTGGTTATTGAATTTATTCCACATCATCAATACGTAGGTATATATATATATATATATATATATATATATATATATATATATATGCATTCATTAAATAATATAGACAAGTTTTGTTTATTTATTTTAAGTAAGTTCCTTTCATATTGTCTGCTAATGGATTACTATATATAATATATATATATATATATATATACTCATTTTGTTTTTGTTTTTTTGTTTGGACTTGAAACTTAAGCACTTTTTTATTTCCAATTTTATAGTCGGGTACCGATTTGTTCTATTACAGTTTGAGCTATCCGAGGTTTTCCAAACGAGTATTACCATCTATCTATCTATCTATCTATCTATCTATCTATCTATCTATCTATATATATATATATATATATATATATATATATATGAGATTAAAAGATTAAAAACATGTCTGTTTGAATAATACCGACAAGTTCCCCCTATCAATTTTTTTTAATAAAATTTTCAAATTTACCGAATTGCTTGTTTTATATTATCGGTAAGTTAACCAAAGTTAATATATATTTTGTATTATTTTTTCTCGAGTACTTTCGAATGTTGCTACATTCGTTTTTCACGGATTTTTTTTGTGTATCTTCATGTGCGTGTGTGTGTGTGTGTGTGTGTGTGTGTGTGTGTGCAGATATGTAGAAAAATAGGAAAGAACACGTTAGGTAAATTATCCTTTCGTTAGTATTTTTGTTTAAAAAAAATAACAGTGCTCCATACAGAAGTAGAACTTAGATTATATTTATTTTTAAAAAAGTATGATTCCTTCGCTACATAAGAGTAAATAAATAAGTAGATAAAATAAAATAAAACAAAATCCTCTAGACACTTGACAACATATTATGGTGCCAAAAGCTATCTTTCGCTGTGACTGACCAGACGATGTGCATACATGAATGCCATCATTCACTTTGGAATGGACACCACGACCCTACCTCGACTTTGCCTCTTTTCGAAGGTGATTGATATGTGGATAAAAATTAACTCTTGGGCACCTTATCAAAATTGTCGCTCCAGCCGTTTCCATAGTAATTAATTTTGCGAATGAACATGCTTATAAAGATGCGTAAATTTCAAGATTTGTTATTCCTAAATTTTCGCTTGAGGAGGAAACAGGGCTTGATACTTTAATTTAATTTAATTTTAATAATTATATTGAGGTTTTCGGTTCTCGTTTTTGAAACATGAGAACTCTTATGTAGCGAAGAAATTATATATTTTTTTAAATAATTATAATATATATATATATATATGTGTGTGTGTGTGTGTGTGTGTAGGATGTATATATATATATATATATATATATATATATATATATATATATATAAATGCCATTTTTATTCATATTATTTATATATTATATATATATGCGGTACTTACTGGAAAGCGCTCAATTCAGTGATAGAACTAACATATTTAGTTCTCAGTGCAAAGAAATCTGTCCTCATCCATAATGGGGACCAGTGGATTAAAAACCCCAATGACAACTTTGACATCACCATGGGATCTCTAGACTCTGCAGAATCTTCGAACCTTGTCGGTCTATTTATACTGTACAATCTAACCGCCCGCCGTGAACTAGACATTAGGGACATCGGGCTATACAGAGATGACGGGCTCATGGTAGTGAGGAGCTCCACAAATTTTAAAACAGAGAATATTAGAAAGATAATTTATAATGGATTCGGAAAACTAAATTCAAAAAACAATAGTCAACACTAAATTAAAAGAGTAAACTTCCCAGACGTAATAAATAGACTTAATAAACAAGGTTCACCTACATTACAGAAAACCTAATACTAATCCCCTATATGTATACCCTAAGTCAAACCACCCTCCATCTATAATTAAGCATATGCCCACATCAATAGAGAAAAGAACCAGTATGAACTCAGCAAATAAGGAAATATTCCGACAACACAGTAGTTTTTATAACACAACCCTGAAAAATAGCGGATACAAAAACGCTGACATAACCTATAGAAACGATAGTACCAAAAATAAGAAAAATAGGAAAAGAAAGATCATCTCGTATACCCCCTGTACAACCAAATGGTCAGTACCAAACTAGGCCATAAGTTCCTAGCTTTCTTTTGAAAAGCACTTTCCCACTAATAGCAAACTTAGCAAGATCTTTAATAAAAAACACTTTTAAAATTGAGTTACAGCTGCACTGAAAATTTAGAAAAGAATCATAAAAAAAGACATAATAAGAAAATCCTAGAAAAACACGCATGCCAAAACAGAAATAAAACTCATAAACTAAAATAGATAAAAATAACGAAAAATTATGTGATTGTAGAAACCCTAAAATGCCCGTTGGAAAATAAATGCCTCACAAAAATCCATGGTATGTCAATGCACTATCTCATCCATTGAGAGTCCTAACACTGATAGGATATACATAGGCCCAACGAAGAATAATTTTAAAAATTAGATGGAGGCAACACAAGTGCTTTTCAACAATATTCAAAATAGAAATCAGACATCTCTATCCCAATATTTCTCTATCTAAAAGAAACGAATAAAACACCAAAAGTAAAATGGAAAATAGTAAATAGAACAAGAACTTGTAAAATCTGGGATGACCCATGCCCATTATGAAAAACTACACATCATTAATTTCTAAATAATGAAAAATTATTAAACCATAGGCAGGAGTTAACGGTTTTTTGCCGACATCAACAAATTTTCGCATTAAATAATTAGCATAAAAGAAAAATCCCATAGTTTAATAAAAGTCTTAAAAGCTTAGCCAAATCATTAAATAGGAAAACCCCTTTTTGTAGTCGTCAAAAAACAAATTGAAATTCAGTGTAATACGGTTTGTATATAAAACACCCACTTGAATAAACAAATAAATAAATAGATAATAATAAAACACAATCCTCCCGACACATAACGACTTGTAGGCGCACCATAAAATATCCCCCACTGGGAACTAACTAGAGGATGACCGCCAACATTAGCCTTGAAATAGATACCCTACCCAACCTTAGCAAAACCTCTCAGAAGATGATGAATCTATAGATAAGAATTAACTCTCTGACCACTTAACGAAGAAAACTAGCCTAGCCACTCCCACAATAACCATGCCTAAAAAAACACACGTAAACCAAGAGATAGCTTATTCCTAAAATTTCGCTTGAAGATGAAATGGGACTAAACACCTCCATTCAACTTAATTTTAATAATTATTTGGATGGTTTCGGCTCTCGTTTTTGAAACATGAGAACTCTTATGTAGCGAAGGAATCATATTTTTAAACAAAAATATTACAATACTATATATATATATATGGATAGATAGATAGAAATGGAGATAAATTTGAATGGACAAAGATAGATAGATAGATAGATAGATAGATAGATAGAAATCCAGACAAATTTGAATGGGCGTAGATAGATAGATAGATAGATAGATAGATAGATAGATAGATAGAAATCCAAACAAATTTGAATGGGCGTAGATAGATAGATAGATAGATAGATAGATAGATAGATAGATAGATAGATAGATAAACAGAAGGACAGATAGCTAGCTATCTAGATAGATAATTTTCCCTGCATACTATTCTAAGATCTTCCGAGACATTTAACTT